GCTTGCAGACAAAGATCTCAACCTGGTTGGTATAACAGAAACCTGGTGGGACCCTACCCATGACTGGGCAGTGGACATTGATGGCTACAGGCTATACAGGCAGGATAGATTGGGGAAAAAGGCAGGGGCATTGCTCTGTGTGTTAGGGAACATTATACATCATCTGCAATAAAGATGGGAACAGAAGAAGGGTGGATCAAAGTCCTATGGGTCAGATTACAAGGGAGTAGGAGTGAAAGGGACTTGGTAGTGGGGGGGTCTACTACAGACCCCCACACCAGGAGAAAGAGTTAGACCTAGAATTCTTGAAACAGATCTCAAGGGCAGTACACTCAAAAGACCTAGTTGTCATGGGTGACCTAAATTACCCAGGCATCTGCTGGGAGGAGTAGTCAGCCAGGTTTACCCGTTCAAGTAATTTCTTAGCCTGCATACAGGACTTGCATCTAACACAAGAGGTATGCAGTCCCACTAAGGGAGATGCCTTACTTGACTTGGTGCTGGCCACAGGGGAGAACTTGGAGAATCTACAGGTACAAGGTAACCTAAAGGATAGTGACCACCAGTTGATAGGATTCACTATCCAGTGTAAGGTGGGAAAGACAAATAGTAGGGCAGTTGTGCTAGACTTCTGGGAGGCCAACTTCAACGAGCTCAGGAGATTAGTTAGGGTGGGTCTGAGGGGTAATCACATCTGTGAGTTGGGAGTCCAACGGTAGGAGTTCCTCAAGGGACTGATCCTACAGGCACAGAGGGGCACTATCCCAGTACATGCAAAGGGAGGCAAAAGAGCCAAAAAACTTTCTTGGCTGAGCAGGGAAATCAAGGAGAGCCTTCAGAGGAAAAAAGAGGCCTACAGGCTGTGGAAGCAAGGGGCAGCCATCAAGGAGGAGTATACCTGCTTGGCTCACACTTGCAGGGAAACAGTGAGGAAGGCCAAAGCAGTTACAGAACTCAAGTTGCCAACAAAGATTAAGGATAACAAAAAGACCCTTCTTTAAGTACACAGGGAGCAGGAAGAAGGCACAGGATAACATAGGGCCACTACAGAATGGACTAGGGCAACTCGTAACTGGTAGGATAGAAAAAGCAGCTGTTAAATAATTGCTTTGCTTCTGCTTTCCTGGACACGGATACAAATACACCTCCCAAAGAGTCTTTAGTCTGGAGTGTGAGTAATAGCAATCCACCAACGGTTAGCACTGACCTAGTGAAGGGGCACTTGGAAGGGCTGGACATATTTAAGTAGGTGGGCCCCAACAATCTTCACCCAAGGGTACTAAAGGAATTGGCTGATGTGACAGCAAAACCACAGGCGCAACTGTTCAAATGCTCGTGGCACTCAGGACAGGTCCCAGAGGACTGGAAAAGGGCCAACACGGTCCCTATTTTCAAGAAGGGGAGGAAGGAGGACCCAGGTAATTATAGGCCAGTTAGCCTCATCTCTAGCCTCGGCAAGACCTTAGAAAAAAATCATAAAGGATCACATTTGCAGGGGGCCAGCGAGTCACATTATGGTAAGGGGTAACTAGCATGGGTTTATAGCAGGCAGACCGTGCCTGACTAACCTGGTCTCTTTTTATGACCAGGTCACAAAGTGCCTAGATGCAGGAGTGGAAGTAGATATTATTTACCTGGATTTTAAAAAGGCTTTTGACTGTGTCGCACCCAATTCTTACGAGCAAACTGAGTAGCTCTGGATTTTTTCCACAGTAAGGCGGGTAAAAAGCTGGCTCATGGGACGCACCCAGAGAGTGGTGGTGGATGGGTTGGTTTCTCCTTGGAGGGATGTGGGCAGTGGTGTCCCCCAAGGCTCTGTCCTTGGACCAATGCAATTTAACAAGGATAAATGCAAAGTGCTGCACCTGGGGAGAAAATCCCCAATACACCTATAGACTGGGGGGTACCATTCTGAGTACCACAACAGTGGAAAGAGATCTCGGAGTCCTGGTTGATGCAAAAATGAACATGAGCCGCCAGTGTGACGAGGTAACAAGCAAGGCTAACTGCACTCTTTCTTGCATCAGCAGGTGCATCGTGAGCAGGTCCAGGGAAATGATAACTCCTGTCTATGCAGTACTGGTGAGGCCACAGATGGAGTACTACATCCAGTTTTGGGCACCGCACTTCAAGAGGGATGTGGATAACTTTGAGAGGGTCCAGAGGAGGGCTACGCGTATGGTTGAGGGCCTGCAGGTAAGACCCTATGAAGACAGACTGAGGGACCTGAATCTCTTCAGTTTACCAGGGCACCCCTCAGGGTTACCAGAAATAATGGCCACAAACTGAAGGAGAATAGATTTAGATCAGACATACGGAAGAAGTTCTTTACAGCAAGGGTTGCCAAAATATGGAATGGGCTTCCAAGGGAGGTGGTGCTGTCCCCTACCTTGGAAGTGTTCAAGAGACTGGATAGGCATCTGGCTGGGGTTACTTAACCCCAGCACTCTTTCTGGCCTGGAGCAGCAGGTCAGACCCGATGATCTGCCAGGTCCCTTCTGACCCTAGGAATCTATGAAAGCACCTTCTTTCTCTTGCTGCAGAGAAAAGGATGCAGATCAATGGCTTGAGGTTGCAGCAGAGTAAGTTTAGATTGGATATTTGGAAAAACTTCTTCACTGTTAGGACAGTGAGGCAGTGGAACAGACTCCCTAGGGAAGCTATGGTCTCTCCATCACTGGAGGTGTTCAAGAAGTTGGACAACCCCTGGTCAGGGGTGATCTAAGCACAAGTATGGCATATTCTATTATGGGCATTTCCCATGGTTCTGGGCTTTGCTGGTTCCCTCCTCCTCCCCACACCCAGAGCTTTCTGCTACATGCGTTAGAGTGTTTTTAAGCCTTCCCAGAGGCACTGGGTGTTGGCTACAGACAAGGTTGGGGCTTTGACTAGAGTTTGCCAATGTTTCTGCTGGGAGCAAAGCTGGAAATTGCTGCTTGTGGAGTCTTGCCCCTCCACCTGAGGTCAGACCAGTTGTCCTTTTTGGGATCAGGAAGGAATTTTACCCCATGGTCAGACTGGTACAAACTGTGGGGGTTTTTACCTTCATCTGTAGTGGGGGGGCCTGACCCTCTACATGGGATCTCTTGCATATAATATTGACAATATTTCATAGAAGCAGGACATTGGCTGCTGTGGTTCCCCTGATTTACCTGCATCAGGTTAGGGTATTAGATCTGTGTTGTGTCAGGTTTGACAGTAGTCTTATGTAGAGTTTAGATTATGGTTTGTATGGGATGGTTTGGATAGGGCTGATCCTGAATCAGGCAGGGGGCTGGACTAGATGACCTCTGAAGTCCCTTCCAGCTCTTACTTTTCTATGATTGTGTGAACAATGACTATTTTCAAAGGCAAGTCCATCTTCCTGTTGGAGTTGAGATTTTAAAAACATATACTTAATAATGAAAAGGACCAGAGGACCTACCTTATCAAAAGATGTTTTTTGCTCAGGTGGGGGAAAAGCAGCTTTTTGCTCTGGTGGTTGCGTTGCTGTAGTTTTCAACTGAGCAGTAATAGCCTGAACATGTGCCATGACAGTATTGTCTATGACTGGAGACTGGGGTTTTGGAGGTTGCTGAAAAGTCTGAAGAATCTGCTGAAGCTTAACAAGAGAGAGAGAAAAACTAGTTTTTGTTTAATATTTCCAAAAACATTTTCAAACTGTTACTAACAAACTACATTACACCATAGTTATTGGACAGACAGATATAAATAAAAAGTATGCTTTGCAGGCAGTTAATTTTAAAAGCAAGTGAGCAGACTTTTATACAGAGGTAGTCCTCATTTGTCCTCTCTTGACAGCTGAATCGGCTGCAACTTAAATTTTTATAGTAATAAATATTTCTTGCAAAAGGAAATTCAGACTAGATGTGTGTGCCTTTGCAACAGCAATGTAACTAGGGAGAGGGGAATAGGGTAACCACCCCAGGCACCAACTTGTGGGGGAAGGGTAAAAAAGTAGTTCTAGATGACAACTGCACAATCACAACTGCAATGGCAGCAGCAACAGGAAGTCCTTGCTGCCCCTGTGCCCCAGGCACCCTTTGCAATATACATTAGGAAAACACCCCTTCCCCCCATTCCAAAAAACAGACTCCCCAATAACTTTCCAGCAAGTTTCACTGATTTCTGCAGTCAGGTAAATTAGTAAAGTGGCTGCTGCCACTGAAGAAATCAAACAAATGTTCCACATTGTAATGTATTAGTTCCAGAGACAATCAGAAGTTTCCCTGAAAGCCATATGCAAAGTCATGACAACTGCAAAAGGACAGTTAGGAACAAAGCGAAATGCTTGCTAAATCCAGGCTGGAAGGTTAGTTTGCTCTAATCTGGGATCTGCAAAACGAAAAAGTCAGATGAATCAAAAGTAAATGAAATCTACCGAGTGTAAAAGAGAAAAACTTGAAAGAAATGGTGTTATCAAGAAAAGTTAAGTGACTTAACCATGTTAAATGACATTAAACCAAGTTAAATCTACAAACCTGACAACATGAAAAGGGTGAATTATAGGAATAAATTCTTAAAGAGAAAATTTAATCCAGCAATTTGGACAGAGAAAGCTTAGGTAATACAAGGGTCTCCTTTTAGTACCTAATTATCAAACAGAAGATTGAGTGGCTCTAAGATACCCAAGTAATACTGCTACACTTCAGCAGTAAGTCACTGCCCTACAAATATTTCATGCAGTGTGCCAAGTAAAAATATAGTAAATGAAAGGTTTCTAGGTAACAAATGCAATACATAACTCATTCTGTGATGTAATGACTAATCTAAATGCAGAGTTTCCAACTGTTTTGTAGGTCATAAATTATAATATTTGGAATATGCAACTAAATGCTTCATATAATATCATTATTAGATGTATAAAAAGCAAGGATAATAAAATAAGCAACCTTAACTCCTAATTGCAATACTTTCTATATCTTTTATATAAAAATGAATGTTAAAACTGTATCAGATACATGAATCTTACCTGCTGTCCTTGAGTTGTCTGAAACAACTGGGCTACAGCAGCAAAGGCATCAGAACTGGGCAACTGTGGCACAGTAGGTACTGAATTAGCAGTAACCTGAGGTGGCTCAGAGGGAACCTTTGCTGGAGGGGGTGGTGAACCTGAAAGAAAATTGCACTGCTGAAAAAGCAGCCCATTCCAGCTTGAGATAGCAACCGTCCACAGGTGTCATACTGAACGTTTTACCTTACAATGAGAAAGACAGTCCCTTCCCTCTGTTTTAGGAGGGGTTCAAGTCAGTTTACAATTACTGACACAAAAAGATTATATTGAATCAAAAAAAGTGGGTTGTATTTCTGTTTAACCCAGCCCTGACAGAATCATTCCTTGAGATTCTTCATTTACTACTGACACCTCTATATTCTGTATTTATGGTCAGAAAGCTACAAATACTGTTCCACAACTGAAAAAGTCCACAAACCAAACTCCGATTCAAAATTCTAGTTAGTTTCACAGTTTGAGAGAGGTTGGAAGTTATCTACTCATATGTACCAAACAGGTGTAGGACAATACACTTATAAAATCAGTTACTTGGCAAAGTTTAAAGTTAACCTTGAACCACTGATTCAAATAAAGATCTTAAGCTACTATGCAGTGATTTATTTTAAAAGAGAAAACAGGATTTTCCTTATTCCTTAAATCCATTTTGAGACATCCATGAAGAAAGACTAAAAAAAAAAAAGACTTGTTAGAGCTGCTTGCCACTTATCCAAGTGATTAGCAACAATGTTTCCTGGCCCATATTGCTCATACTGCTTCAAATGAGTTTGTGGTAGTACCAGCCAAGTCTCACATGCAGTGAATAAATTTCTCTTTAGCACAAATCCTTTCAAATCAACTTTTGCTTCTACCTCCGGGAAAAGAAACCTACTTGCAATGATTTTAATAAAGCTGAGATCTTTTCTGCACTGAAACATAAGAGAAGGCTAACAATACAGACTGTAGTTTTTACTTCTGCTTTGTAACACTTCTTTATATCAGTAAATTATCTGTGCAAGAATCAAGTTAACAGGTGATTTTATCAACAACTCCAACACATAATGGATTTTTCAATATTTTTACTGGGAAACATACTTGTATGGCTCCAATGAAATAGATTATAAAATGTGAACATTTTACACTTGCAGGAAGAAAGCTAAATGAAGCAGGATTCAAATTACGGAAGAGCTCAAGGGGGATAAGCCAGCCCATAAGAGACTAGAGCCCCCCCCTGTAAGATTTGAAAATCATAACCTGGGCGGGGGAGCTCCAATTTTATTAGGGCATCGTGATGGGCAGCCCAATTTTTTTATTTATTTTTTTTTTTTGCAGACCCTCACCAAGAGTCAAAGTGTAATTTGAACCCTGAATGAGAGAGAGAGTGCTCTAATAGCTTCACTGATGCAAACTGGCACAGTATAGCAGTATCTTTCCTGTATTTAGTGGAAACAATTAAGCAAATATGCTTGCTTTACAAGACGTAGTTTCCATAAATCTGCTTACATGTTAAATAATCAAAGGACTGGTATATAGCAAAGAAAAGCAAACATTGAGAAAAAATATTTTTATTTAGCCTTTGGCTTCTGGAAAATATTACAAGATATGTGAAAGGTATAATTCTGCTCAGAAAAATTATACCTGAATTACAGACTTTTTCTTGGTATATTCAAAGGGATATTCTCCTTACTTAAGAGACAAACGTAAGTTTACTGCCTTTTACTTTTTTGTTGGCTAGGCTCCTCAGTGTGAATGAGATAGACTCTATTTCATATCATGCATTAATAAAATTGTTAACTGCAAGACCAAATTATTTCCTGTTAAATGTATCTAATTACAATGAAATCGATGACTCCACACCTAAAGGAGCAGGATATTGGTTGGCTGTTACTAGATCCAGGAAAAAAAAAAAAAAAAAATACAGCTCACTTTCGACCTCTCAGTGAGTTTACAAATCACCAGTTAGTGAAGCATGGTGTCATAGCGAACTGTTTTTGTACACTTAGATAATGTGTTAATAGGTATCAGACAAGACTTTGAACACAAATGCCCTTCCTTCTTCAGGATTGGTTTAGACTTGCAAGAATGACACTTTGTGCCCAAAAGCTTGTTTGACATTTCTCCCAATTATACACTTGGTCCAATAAAAGATAGCACAAAAGCCTTGGCTTCTCATTTCCTAGACCATCACAACAAGACAGCTCCAAACTGTTAATAGGCAGCAAGGCTTTCTAAATACAATTGGAAAATCTTTCAGAGATATCTATTTGACACCATCTCTCACCCCAACTTAAACCACAAAGGGCTCCATAACATTTAAACACCAACTCTTCAAATATATTAACATAATAAATACAGAAGTTCTGAAGTATGTATCAATTAACCAGGATTGACATGCACTGAAGAAGGTGAAGAGGCAGTTCTGAAAAGCTTAAAAGGGGAAAATGGTGAATGGAGAACAGATGGCATTTTAAGTGAAATATTTCTTTTAGCTTTTTACAGCTTGTACTGGTATGTTCAAAATACCTTACCTCTATTTTTTTTTTGTGGGAACAACTATAGGGCAGGTAGTAACAATGTTACATTCTTTAGGACATTACATTTTTCTATGGGAAAACTAATCTCATGCTTTACTGACCATGATGAACACAGGAAATACACCAATGGGATAAAAAGAACATATCACTGGTAAGAAAGCTTGTTGGGGGGGGGAAGAGATCATTATCCCCCAATAGAGCTAAATACCCACCTAGCTGTGTCTATTTTAGAAAGTTCTGTCAGCAAATCTACATTTGCCAAGGTGACTGGCAAACCTCCTGTTATTTAGTGATTTAATGGCAGATAAACTCCCTTTGGTATAACTGAGTCTACATGAGGGAGTTCTCCTAGTACAAGTGTGGCAGCTGAACCTCCACTGTACAGACTGGGCCTTAGTTTTAAAGAAAAAAGAATGCAAATAATATTAGTCCATTTCAGGTCATTTTCCAAAACATGCACACACACACATAACACAACACAGTACTAGCATTTATTCAGAATGAGTTCAGCTTTTTCTATGCAGTTTGTACTGTGGTCAATTTGAACACTAGGGTCCTAGTGAACCTGTTTTTACAAAGTCCTTTAAGCCAGTACTAGTAATAAGCAGGGACCTACTCAAAACATGATGCCTGCGAAATCTGCAGGAAAAAAAAGCAGCTTACTGAAAAGTAAAATGCTGGCCTTCCAGATGGAGACAGCAGTCATCATGGCCCCTGAAGCCTGGCTGCACAACCCAGAGAGGAGGGAGGGGGCTGCCAGCTCCAAGAGGAGTCCAAGATGGCTGCCCCCCACAACTGATTGATTGAGAAGGCTGCCCATCATGCAACCCTTCTCCTCTCCACCAATCAGCGGCAAAGGGTGGGGCTGTATAACAGACGGCCTTCTCAGCTAATCAGCAATAAGGGCCAGGGCCAACAGGGTCCCTCTGCCAGAATGTGTGTGGTTGGGGGGAGGGGGAAGGGAACGGGACATGGACAAGACAATGACAACATCTCCAATAAGCCTTAGAAAATGGTGGGCAGCCCTGCAAGCTGCCTGAGAAGTCAGCCGGCTGCCTCCTCAATTTGAGTAGACCCCTAGTAATAAGCAGGGATCCTGATTTTCTCCTATTTAAAAAATCCCCAATTTTTATTTTATTTTATTTTTTTTTAACTGAAAAGTAACCCCAAATCCATATTTTATATACCTGTTATTTGTCTCATCCCAACTTTTAAACCACAAGTAAAGCCATCCATACCTTCATTATTAGAGGTATTTTCTGCCACTGGGGCTGTACTACTAGTTCCTGCTGCCATATCCAGAAGAGGCTGAATGATCTCTATTTTAAACACTCCATTTTTCTGCCAAAGGTTCAGAACACGAACTATCTTACTCTGTACAAACAAAAGAAAGAGTCAATGTAGAACAAAATATTCCAAAACATAAACTCTAAATTTAGCTATTGCACACAGGAAAGGAGATAGTGGTATAGCAGTCTACAGATAAACAAAGTTTAAATGTCTTGTTGTGTGGGTTAGCTGTACACCTCAAGCACAGTGAAGGTATCATACTACTAAGTTGGGTTTTTTTGTGGTTTTTTTTTTTTTTTTTTTTTTAAACAAGAACAGCAGGTTCTTGTGTCATTGCATCTTGTGACCCGAAGGTCTGCCAAAAGAGCAGCACTGATAGACAAAGGCACTGCATCCCTATTTCAAGATGCATGTCATTTCAAGGGAAGATTAAAGAAGGGACAGTTAGTGAGAGTCAAGCAAAGGTAGGAAAGATCAAGAAAACAAAAATGCAGAAAGGTGGCAGCAAATCTTGAAAAAAAGGGGAAGCAAGAAAAATGTCAGAACCATGTTTACAAAAAAGAACAAAAAGCTGTTTACTTGCATTTCTTTCAGCTACCAATTCAGTTACTTCTATGTTGGACTGGCAGCCAGAACTACCTCAGAAATCTCATCTGCATGATTTCTTGAAAGATTAGGAAAGTGAGTGAGTATATATCTTTCCTGTACCAATTAGACTACATTAACCTTGACTACCAGCTGCTATTTTAAGCTTGTTTCTTTATTCAAGATTTAAAAAAAATTAAAGGTCTTCAGGAACAAAGATATTATTTCTACCTTTTTAAATGAAGAATTAAAAAACCCCAAACAAATAATATCCTTTTAACTCTGTGTGGTCATAACATCAACCTGACGATATGACTACATCAAACAGCATCTTCTCAGTATATCTGAACACTGAGCATACACACTTCCATCTCACCGACAAGTTCTTAACTTCTTTTTACTTGTTGTTGCAACAATTTAGGCTATGTACACACATTCAAATAATCTGGTAAAACTCTCCCATCTTTGTTGTCCTGGTAAAGAAACATACCCAGAGCTGTGTGTACAGGCATTTGAATCTTGGGGCCCTGAAGAATGAAGAGCTTGCAGTGCTGACATTGCGCAACTGGGGGAAGGGGGCCACCCACATGTGTGCTCTCCAGGCTCCCTTACAATGCCTGGCAACAGATGGCAGTTGTGTATGGGGTAGCCCTACTGGCCAACCTAAACTGCCTTTGGTCAGTCTGTGCTTCCTTGCAGCACAATGCAGGTATTGCGATGCGGGTATGTTCTGCTCTCTTCCAGAGCAGCAAAGTCCAGTAAGTGACACACTGTTTCTCTGGAGAGAAAAGGGGGTGCTGGAGGTCTATATTCTCTTCTCAGAAAAGCCATGACATGTACAGACATTTGCTCTCCTAGGAGAAGCTCTCTTGGGAGTGATTTAACCCTCATGTTCCAAGGTTATTTTTTTCTCTTACAGCAGGCGTTTTTACTCTGGGGAAAAAAAAGCCTGAATATCTGTACACTGTGGTTTCTCCTGGGAGAAGTGCTGCTCCCCTAGGAGAAACTGAATATCTGTAAAAGGCCTTATAATAAGTCAATTCTCTTTCTCCTTCTTCCACCAATTCATAACCAATTGCCTGCCAAAATCCAGTCACTTACACCTATATAAACACATTCAGAAGGGCACCTGTACAAGTCTGACAGCAACAAAATTGCGCACAAAACTTCCATGAAAAAGTTACTGTAAGGGGAATCCCCAATTGGCTAATTTGGTGTTCTGTCCTCAAAAGCTGAAATAAGCCATAACAGTAGAGGGTTTTGGCGCTCCTTTTTAGAAGTCTTTGAAATGGCCTTTGTTTTCAATATTCAAAAAAAAAAAAAAAAAAAAAAAAAAAAGGAGACTGTCATCATCACATACTCATTTTGTAGAAAATGTTGAGCAAAAGAAATGCTACTATACTTTCTTCTGACCCTGGCTATGCTTAATTTCTAACTGCAAATATGTTTCTTACTTTGTGGAATTCCAGTATTGTCCATTACGGTGACAAATTTGTGGCACAGGCTAACTCTGGGTATAGCACATGGCAGATCAAGGAAGGTACTGGCAGCACAGTGGCAGATAGGGCAGGGAGCAGAAAGCAGAGCAGATCAGGCAAAAATCACACCATAAGCAGCAGAAAGCAGAGCAACACATGAGGCAGGGAAGACAGGGCAAGAAGCAGAGAGCAGAGTGGCACACAGTGCAGGGAAAGAAAATGGAGTGGCGCTCAGAGGGCACAAGACAATATGTGGCATGCCTACCAAAAAGATTGACCCCCACTGTTTACATGATAAAACATTCTATGTAACCTACTGCAGACTACATTACTATATGAAACTAAGTGTAGTGAAATAGGATTACTTCTCTTAATCACTGAAACACACTCCTTTTAACACTACAGCTACCAGGTACTATATGCTTGCATGCTCAGAGCAAGCAGTCAAAGAAGCTTTTCAGTGACTGTCAGTCAAGGATGCAATGAGGCCTCCCTTCTACAGGAATAAGAATAAAAAAAGCCCACCCCAACACCCCAACTTCCAGGAGCATGAAATAAAGATGAGCTATTAAATGAAAGAGGAGCAAAAGGAAGTCACTGTAGCACTATGGAGGAAATATCTTAGAAGAATAGGTTATAAGAATGTGCCTCTTTCAGTCATTTCTAAAGGTCCACAGAGAAACAGTGCAAGTGGTTACACCTAGCACTGAACTCCCAGAGGAGATAGGATAGTAAGCCCTATTAGAAACTGAAAAGACACTCTTCTGAACTAAGAGACTGGTCTGCAAAGGTGCAAACACAGCATCACATTGCAGATGAATCTTGAGGAACAAATATACACTGAAATGAGCTCTAGATCATTCCTAGGAAGGCAACATCATAAAAAGACTCATCTCCAGTCTAATCCACTTAGAGCAGTAGTGCCCAACCTTTTCTCCCCTTGGATAGATAGTGCTCAGTTAGCTTGCAGGTTGGATCTGACTGGTGGACCCCATCCAAGAAGCGAGGCAGTGCAAGGGGCCTGATTCAGGCATGTAGGGGGAGTTGGGAAGCAGCCCAGGCCTGATTGGACTCATGGGGGAGGGGAGCAATCTGTGGAGAGCCCTGCAGGCTGATGCCACAGGTCCATAGGCCAGAGGTTGAGCGCCCCTGACTTAGACAATTTCTGAATTGTAACAACTGGTCTGAAGCTGGATTTCCCCCTAGAACTTTCAGTTGTTTTCTGACATCCAGACAGTGCAATGTGATTGGGCAGAACCACTGTATGAATTTGGGAAAGA